ATTTGTGTGCCCTGAGGTGTCTCTGTCCTCAGTATTGTCCTCCCCCTGGTCTAGCCTGGCTTCTCTCCCGCTCTGGGCACCTTCTCTGCAGGTCCCACTCCAGCGGGGGCTTTGCCCTCTCCTGGGGATGTCTCCACAATGGCTTCTGAATGGCCCCTCCTGCCCCTCGTCCAGGCCTGTTGTCTACTTGGTCCTCCTCACAGTCTGCCAGTTGTAGGGCTGGCTGTCCCCTCCCTGTCCGTGGGGCTGCTGCTCTGTGGCCTTTCCTGTGCCCTCTTGGCCATCAGAATTGCACTAAAGGATGAGTGGAGTACTGGGGGCATTTTGTTTGATGCACTTGGATCCACTTTCTGTGCTACTGACCCTCTCACTCAGAGTGAGAGGAGTTCGCTGAGCAGGAAGGGAAATCCTCTCTCCCAAGGTGCCGGCACTGTGAGCAGAAGAGCAAAGTCAGACTGTCCCCAGAGGCATCCCTGTCCTCGCGTTTATAGTGCACCCACTGGTGGGGGAAATGCTGTTTACAATGAGGGAGAAAAGAGCCTCTCAGCCAATAGGGCCACCGCTGCCAGCTGACGTCATGCAAGTGTTGGACATGCCTTTGCCTGGGCAAGGGACCGGCTCGGTCACTTAGCAGCCCTGTGACTTGGGCAGGCTACTCCCCTCTCTGTGCCCCGTTCCCTCCTCTGTAAAATGGGGTGAGGCCCCTGGATTTGGGGAGGAATAGAGGAGTTCAGATACAAGGAGCTCTTAGAACAGTATCCAGAGCCTGTGAATTTAGGTGTTAGCCTGACATTAAATAATAATAATAAACATTATTATTGAAAGGTCAATCATGAATTGCACCTTAATATGAAAATCTAATGTTTGGGGGTGGAGGCAGTTTTATTACTCATTTCTGTATTCAAATGACTAGGGGTATGGAGTTGGGCATATACTGTTGGAAGCAGCAGAGCTGGGCCCTAAGGTAGAGGACAGGAGCCCCCTCACCCCCCCAAACTGCTGTCTCAGTAGCCCCTGCCCTCCTGCTCTCCCCCAGCAGAAGGCAAGGGGTTTCTGGGAGGCAGGGTGCCCAGGATGTCCATGGAATGTGTTTAGGAGTCACCAGATGGGTGAAACTCGTAGGAACACTGAATTGTCTGTTTTCTCTTTTGCCCACTGCAACTCAATGAGAAGCCTGTATCCCAAGACCTTCAACTTCAACTTCCAAAATCTAAATGGCTATGGGCGGAAGTCTACCTTCCTCTGCTTTGAAGTGGAAAAATGGGAGGATGGCTTATTTCTTGACTATCAAAATGGTGTCTTTCGAAACCAGGTATGTGCCCCACAATGCTGTCATCAGAGGCAGGAACTAAGCCAGGGAAGGATGTGGAGAGATGATAATATGGAAAATGTCAGAGGCTTCTTCCCACAACACTGCCCTGTGTTTTAGCCCTGGATGCCCCTGCCTGACCCTCCCTAATCACCATAGACCATCAGTCGCCAACAGATGGTCTGTGGACCACTGATGGCCCGTGAGGTCTAAAAGGTTGGCGACCGCTGCCATAGACAATGGCATTTGACTTATCCACAAGGCCTCCTCTAGTCACTAGAGTCTATTGAACCTGCTGGCCCTCAGTCTCCACCTCTTCCAGGGATCTTGAACTGTCTTAGAGGAAAGAGCATCTAGGCTTGGATAAAAGTGCTGATAGGCTTACATGTATAGAAAAGAGTACATTCAATTGGACTCACATACATAAATGCTTTTTCCATTTCAAAAGTAAAATTTTCATAAAGGCCTGTTTCATCTCCCTGTCCTGTTTCTCAGTGATTGCTCTACTGTTATTAGAATTCAGCCACTCAGCCAAATTAGCAAAATGGGTCTCAGATCTAGATCATACATACATCAAAGTAAGCACTCTTCTTACACCATTCTTCTTGCGAGCTCAGGCTGTGGGCCACCTCAGAGTTAATGCTCACATCCTAAAGTCTCTCTCATAGGCTGTACGTAAGCCTCTGTTACGTACTGTGGTTTATCTTAAGGAATTTCCCGCAGGCTAAGCTTGATACTCAAGATGTTGGTTGTAGGAGAATTGCAAAAATGAATGTGTTTGCCATACTTTAAATACCTGGATTAGAACCACAAAAATGTGAAATGCTATCTATATATATTTAAGCCCACTGACTGAATGGCAGAATGACTAGAACGACCAGTCAACCAGTCACTATGATGCGCAATGACCACCAGGGGGCAAACGCTTAATACATGAACACCCACTCTGATTGGTTATGAAGGGTTGGAAAATATTAAATATACTGGAGACTCTGAACCCTTTGAAAGCACAAAATAACCAACTAATGCTGGATTGACTTGACAGACCTAGTTCAGCTGAGTTTTCATAGAAAAACACGAGACTGTAATCTCATTAAAATGTACTTAA